CATATTAAGTGATTTAAAAATATATACTACTGCTACTGTAGAACTACAGGTTGAAATATTAAGCTGACATTCCTTTATTCCTTTTGTCTTATTTCATTATGTCTGTCAAACACATAAACATGTGCCTCACTACTACCTCACTGGCTGAAAGGTTATTTGCATTGGAAAAAATGATGCTTGATTACACCACTTTCTCCTTCTATTAAAAGTATCCTGAATAACCTTTTAATGAACACCTATGGATGTATGAATGCCCAGCATGTCCTAATTTAGTCCTCATTTAACATTGGTCTTGCCACCTAAGTATCTAATCATTTATGGGATATATCAAATATGTGAAAGTAGAGAAAGCAGAAAACAGTACAGTCTGTTGCCTTGGTGTAATAACAGATAGAGATGGCATGATACCACTTTTTCTTTTTCCAATACCGATACTGAAATCTTGAGTGTCAGCTGATACCAATACTCCGATATTGTTTTTTTTTTTTTTTTTTTTAAAACTACTAAGCTTTAATTTTTTTTAACTGAAGCACTTCACAGTTTTTCACACAAAAACACTTGCACTGTAAATACTGTATAATCATGTATAAAGTGTACTTAAAAGTATAAAATTCAGTTTTTACAAAAGAATGAACTGTCAAGCCACTTTCCATGTAAACAGTCCAGAAAAATTTTTCGTTTCCAAATTCAATTCCAATGTTACAGAATCCAATATCCAATATGTCTTCTCAGGTAACAAATCCACCATTTTATGCTGGTATCGGCCTGATACTGGTTATCGGATTGGTGTTTCTATACTAATAAACTGTGCCTTTTTAACCTTTCACAGAAGGTTTGGTCTGATGGCACCAAATTGACTTTCACCAAGTGGAACCCAATTGAACCAAATTTTCAAAATGGAGAGTGCTGTGTGCATATGAACTGAGATTGTAAGTGTGTCAGGAAACCTCTTACGTAGCTGTATTGTTTTTAAAATATATCTTAGAACTTCAGATTTACATTTAATTATTAAATTCACATTTAATTTGTTGCTAATTTATTCTGTCTGCAGGGTGGAAGGACTGGAATGACTTTCCATGTGAACAGATGTTTCCCTTTATGTGTGCCAAGAGCATTAAATGTCTGTAATATTATGTTGATTTTTTCCCCTTTGTCCTAAGCTGGCGCAAATACATTTGTATAAACACACTGTGGAATCTTAAAAAAATTTTGAGCAGTACAAATACAGTAAATAGGTAAATAAACTCTTAAATATGTTTATGGAATTATTTCATATACGGTTATCAATTTTAGTATAAGCATCTTTAAGTCTGTCTTAAGAGATGCACTTATCTGCTATGGACATTCCAGGTATACTGCTAACATGATATAATGGTGGAAGTATCCTATAATGTCACCATCAGCAAATAAGTTGCATGTTACATCAATGAGTTGGAGGATTTTTAAGTGACTAGTTTGTATATAAATAACTAGCATATTCTACTGCAGTGTCTAAAATCTGCAATATTTTATTTAAATGTTTAAATAGGTGATTACGTCTATGTAGGCTGCTGTTCACTTATCTTTCATTTCACTTTGATGAAAAATATAAACGTGTAATTTGAGACATTTCAGTACAAATAACCAGGTCATAGTGCAAAGTTTTAGATGTATCCATAACCTTGAAATTTAAATAATTTCATCCATTAACGTTGGGAGAACAGTCTCCAGTAGGCTTAGTTTCTGATTAATTATTAGAATGTATCAGGCAAATATGCTTACTACGTCATATTAAGTGGATGCTAATGACCAAAGAGAACAAACTAAAGGTTTGGTTTTTCTCTGAATAAACTGCAATGATTATGACAGCAGAAATACTCAACCAGTAAGGTGTCTCAGCTCATCACACATTTATTCTAGACTACAATCTGTAATGCTGAAGATCTCAGAAAAACTTGCAGCTGCACAATCATTACGTTCTCTGTGTGTTTCCAAGAGAAAAATATCTGTAAAGTGATTGGTTAAGTAATCATGGCTCATGTCAAAGCACACAGAAAGATGGACAGACAGACAGACAGACCAGGGTCAAACCCAAGCTGTCCAACACGGAAACGCTTTCAGGACTGATGACTTTTGCGCTTTGTGATAAGCTAACTTCAATATAGAGAAAAAGAGAGGCTGATGTGGGAATGACCATCTACAGCTGGTATAATATCAGTAATAAAAGGACCTAATATGGTTCATGGCTGAGATGGCTATAGTAGTGCAATTAGTGTAGAATATCCACCTTAAATTTAATGGTTTTTATTATAAGGTTTTTATATTAGACAGTGGGTGTTTCCACAGATGAGCACAAATCCTCTTGCACGCCTCCCCTGTTTGACAGTAATGCTGACACATCCACAGAGATTTAATCTGAGCTAATCATCTAGGTCTGGCATTTGGGGTTTAACTTAGAAATAGCAAACATGGTTTGTCAGAGCAGACTTTCTTTGCTGTTTGTCACCTGCATGGCTTCAACAGCCTTTGGTAAGTTTTATATCCTGAAGTATCAGTCTACTAATTGAGAAATGCTGTTTAGACTGATATGTATTTAAATCTTTACAACAGTACATAATCCTAAAACCTTCCTGATTCTTTCTGTAGAAAAGAGATTGTGCACAATGACTGGGAAAAAATGAACTTTTTTTCTTTTTCTTTGTTTAATTCTCTAAGGTCAGGTTGTGACATCTGTAACAGGTAATCACAGACTGACACTTTCAGCACCACAGGCCTGTATGCAAAAATATAGTAACATTCTTTTTCTGTCCATTTTCCAGCATCTAAGTGGGATGAATGGGTGAAAGGTAAAATAGATTTGTGATTTTAATAGCATTGTGCAAAATAAAGGCTATTATTATATCATGATTATTTTACTTTTTTAGATTCCTTGCAACGCACAGTCCCTGAAAAGGAATATTTTTCTTTAGAGGGACATTCATGCTCACCTTATTGTCCATCAGGATGGGTGACCTATGGCAGACGCTGCTTCATGTATGTTGCCCAGCACATGAACTGGATCTCTGCTGAGGTAAACCACATTTCCTTCAAGTCACAGCTCAAAAATATCTAGAGATCTACTAAGACCACTCTGATGCACATCTGGTATGATGGTGTGTATACTGTGTATACTTCTTTGAGAAATGTTTGTGGTTGCTCATACTACGCTATCTTGCATTAATTACACTCTTGCATCAATTGTATCACTTACCACCAGTACTTACTCCAACACTCATGTTTACTCATGCTTCATAAAACTAACTTCCTGTACATGTATCACTGTTGGTTCCTTCCACAGTAGATGCTTGGCTTATATTCTGCCTCACTTCAAGTTACTTTGGATAAACATATCTGTCAAATGAATTACTATAGATGTAAATATAACTTATAAAATGCACTCCCTGGCAGCAAGCTATTTCCTTTAAGTCTTTAATTCTGCTTTCTATAACTGGGTTCTGTCTTAACCCTGTCTACAGCAAACTCCCCAGATCAAATGCAAATGGGAATTTCAGAGCTGAGTCATATTTATTATTGAACTTTGAAATATTTTACAACTTAACTAATTTCTTTTCAATGTTTGCACTTTATTTTAGCACAGCACTTTTCATCTCTTTTTAGCATCACAACATTTAATTTTATTTGAATTAATGATACTATCCTTGCCTTTTATGAGCACCTTTCAGTTTATTTAATTGTCTTATACTTTTTTTTTCTTATTTTTCTCCCTGTAATGCAATTTGAATGACCTCTGGGTATGAATTGTGCTATTCAAATATTTGCCTTGCCTTAAAAAAACACCAAATGTACTTAACACCTCCAGAGGAACAGATACTTATCTGTACTGCAGTAGTCATGAAAACCACAACCGTTTGACAGAAAATGCAAAAAAAAAAAACTGTTGGCGTATGAGCTGTGATCATTATATATTACATTATATAACTCAAATATAATTATTTCCAAACACTAGTTTTCCAGCACAAAAATGTTAAAGAAAAATGTATGTCGGTGAAGAAAGCAGCATATTACATATGAGACCACTTTTCAGACAAAAAACATAATGAAGGCTGCTGGGTTTTGCTGCAAAAATAAGAAGCAAGTGCGACAGTCAAAGTCTCCAGAAGAACTGTGGCTGCTTCTGCAAGATGCTCAGTAACACTTACAGCTCATTTCTTTATAAAACTTTTTTTTTTTTAAAGCAAAGTGTCACCACACCAAATATTGCCTTTGTTTCATTTATTACTGTTTACTGCTCTTTATAGTATTTTTCTAAATGTAGAAACATTTAATTTCATTATTTATCTGTTTGGAATCGAGAAGGTATTTGTTTATTCCTTTAAAATATTAGAATAAAATTTTTTTGTATTCCTTTACAATGTTAGAATAATACTAACCCTTCTTGTTCTGTTTCTAGTGAGCAGTAACTGCATGAAATAATTTTAAAAATGCACAAATGTCTTTGCTTTCTAGAAACACTGTCTGGATCTTGGTGCCAACTTGGTCTCGATACACAGTGAAGATGAATATCAGGTGGTCAAGGCCCTTATCCGTGCTCACGACCCCAATGAGAATCCAACATGGATCGGCCTAAATAACTGTATGAAGGTAAAAGAACAGCAAACAGATTTTCAGCACTGGCCAGGATGAAACAAAAGTAACTGCCAACTACAATGAGTTCTCAAAATGTGATATTTTGAGGATTCATGGAATTTTTAGGATTCATGGAAAAAGACATCTCAAATTCAAAGAAGTGATCTAGGTTTTTTTGCCCTGTAAGCTTAGTCAAATTCAGTGGGGTCCAAAAGTCTGAGAGCAAGAAGTGAAAAAGCTTCTATTGCATTTTTTTCTAATTTAATAATAATTTTCATTACAAATTATATTATTGACACCAACTTGAGTGAAAAGTAGAATCTTTGAAATATTTACATGAATTTCAGAGTTTCTTAGTTTTTGGTACATCCCCTTTTGGCTTTAATGAAATAAAGGGCAGTGGTGGCTCAGCGGTTAAGACATTGGACTGCTGCTTGGATGGTTGAGTTCAAATCCCAGCACTGTCAAACTAAAACTGCTGGACCCTTGAGCAAGGCCCTTAACCCTCAACTACTCAGTTGTATAAATGAGGGAAATATACATTGCTCTGGATACAGGTGTCTGCCAACTGCCATGAATGTAATGACTGCATGAACTCGAGCTGACATGATTGAGCTTGGATCAAATCCATCAGAGTGTTGTCTAATCACATGCCTCAATAGGAGAGATTAGACATGAGGACAATCAGGCCTTTTGTACAAAGTAGTTAGCATGGTCAATATCACAAACTTATAGTGCAGGAAATAGTGCAGGATCTGGAAAATTAAATATTCAACATATTGAACATTTACATTCTTTGTTTTAAATGTTTCAAAATTCTAAAACCTGTTTTTCCCATTTTTAAATAAAAAAAAATCTCAGATTTTCAGTGTGGTCTCAGACTTTTGGACTGCACTGTATATGAAAGCAAGGAAATCATAACTAACATGCATGATTTTTCCACTGAAACAGTCAGACTCATAAATTACAGCCTGTTGCCCTGGCATTGTAATGGACTGACCTTTTTTTTTTTTCACCTGTTTAGAGACATAACTGGCTTTGGTCTGATGGCACCAAATTGACTTTCACCAAATGGAATCCAGATGAACCCAATTTTAAAAATAGAGAGTGCTGTGTGCACATTAACTTTTCTGGTAAGTTAAGCCTCTTGTGTAGCTGTGTTGTTTCTTTATCAATTCACATGTAATTTAATTGAATTAAACTTATCTTTTTTGTCTGCAGTCTTTATGAACTGGAATGACATCCCATGTGTTGACAAATATCCCTTTGTGTGTGTCAAGAAGCTTAACTGACACTCACAGCTTCACCTTACCAAAATGCATTGAACTTTTTCTTCCTTATTCTTAACAGGCACAAACACATTTGTAAAAACAAAATGTAAAAACGCACTGTAATGTAATGCACATAAAGAATGAACAAAACCTTTATACATGGATGAATTCTTTCTTAACTGTATTATTTGGTATTGTTTTGAAATGCGCTGTAGCTATATTACTTGCACAGTTGTTTGAATCAGATGTACTTATATACTGGTGACGGTTTAGGCATAATGTTAATAATACATTATGTGCATGGTTTTATGGGAAAATAAACAACAGGGTGGAGTGATGTGGCCCCATGTGAAGTGGAGCTACTGCGAAATTGATTAATTTCCTATACCAGCACATCCTGAAGTTTCATTCCTCTTTCTCTTATACCACAGCTATTTGCCAATGATTAGAATTTTCTATTAAGTAAAAAGCAACATTGTACATTTTATGCATTTCTAGTTACATTTAATGGCATGAATGTTAACAGGAACTAACTTTTTGCATGGATGTTATCACTTATGTTATAGCAGCTTTAAACATTCATTCCCTCACCAGCCTCTTTTTTTAATGAATAAGACAAAACCAACAAACAAAAAAACCCGACTGTCAAGTTACCAAGAAACCAAAGTGCAAAGCTCTCTATCCTGAAGACTTTCATATGGCGGGAAACTTACTGTTACAAAGCACTGACAGTGCAGATTCCTTCCATAAATGTTAAATAAACATCTCCTTACAGAAAACTTCACCATGTCAATGATTACACACTTGTGTTTAACACATTTTAATTATTAGTATTATTAGTCTTGGATTATGTGCAACATCTGCCATACACTTCCCTTTAAATGAGCTATAGAAACGATGACACATTAGAACAAGCCCATTAATATAAACCAGTGATTTTAAACTATTGTCAGAGCTGCTGCTATAGAAAATGAATCAACACCTTCTGACCAATCAGAATCGAGAATTCAACAGATTGAATGATTGCTTGAATGATTTGCAAAAAGTGACGTCTCATTCCTTATTTTTCCATTATTTTATCAGTTTGGATATCATTTTAATTATATTAATTGAAATTAATTGTATTATAATTTTCAGCAAGTACGATATGATTTTTTTTCATACAAAGCAAATCAATTTTTTAACTTAATGGTGTAATTACTCAAAGTTTTGCATAAAGCAATTTTAATAAATACATCATCATTTGCGTCATTGTCATTTTTCATCTACTAGACACTTTTATGAATTTTGCTGAACATCTAGACCTCTTGTTAAGTGGAACACACACACAGCATCAAAAGCTGCCTAGCTCATGTGATTTTATCTGACTTTATATGATACATGGCTTTATTGCAAAAAGTTGATTTCCTCTGTTTCACAATAATGCTGATGTAGTTACAACCACAGAGACCAACACAACAGGTACAGCGGCTGATATTTCTAATATTTTATTTTAGGTTTAACATTTGGGATTTAACATTGAATTTATATGAACTATTGTGCTCTTTTTTTGCAGCTACAAATTAAAATAGCTTACTCCAGTACTCATGTTTAGTACAGACATTTAACTATTTCCTTTTTTCTTTTAAACTAAGTCTGTATTTTCAGTATTAACAGTCTCCAATTAAAAAAAAAAACAAAAAAAAAAAACACCATATACATATACAACACTGCTGCTAAAAGAAGTCTCACTTTATATTGTCTAATACCTCAAAAAACATTAACATGTAATCAATGCACTTTTACAATTAGACTACAATATTAATCTTCTATAAATACGCTTCAGGTTTGGCCTGTATAAGCACACAAATTGAGACCTTGGAATTATCTGTTTATATCCGTCTTTAATGGCAAAAATTAATTCATGTTAAAAATATTCCAGAAAATTCCATCATAAGATTTTACTTTGTTAAATAGCTTAAAAAATACTTTTAAAAATTCATTTATTGTTAGATTTAAATTATGTGGATCATCAGCCGTACAAGTCCCTGAGTGAGTTGTTACTATGGAAACACAGATGACTTTTAGCATTTTCCTGTTTATTTCACACATTTCATTTGCGATGCCAAAGAAACACACACAGTGCCCATGACTATCTGATTTTTTTTTTGATTTTTTTTTTTTTTTTTGGACTAAATGCTTGTGGGTTTTTTCTACCACTGCAGTGGAGATAAAGATCTGTTCCACTGGTGGTGTTAAACGTATTTAAATTATGTTTAAAAAAAAACCCAGGAGATTCTCATGATGCATATTATTGCATTACATAATATTTTTGTATGTATAAAGACCTTTGGTGTTTAAAATCTGTATATACAATATATTTAATGCCATGTAAATAACATATTTATAACATGAACTGTTTTTTTAATAATTAAAATCAGTTACACCACAGTGCTGTTGAATTCTCAATTCTGATTGGTCAGAAGGTGTTGATTAATCTTCTATAACAGCACATAATATCACAAGTTTATATTAATGCACTCGTTGTAATAAGATATCAGTACAGTATGAAACTCTTTTTGGTAAAATATCATTAATGCTGGGGTGCTTACTGTAGTTGTCAGTGCTCATTCTGCTGATTTAAAAATTATAATTTTTTTTAAGTAATGCTGTTTTGTTAATAGGAATTTAGAGTCAGATTTCCTGAAACACAGGCAAAGAAGAACAATCACTGGTGAAAATATCACAAACTTTATCTGGTTTTAAAAAAAAATAGACAGCAAAAGAGTCAAAAGAGTCCATTCCTAATGTCAAAACAGAAATTAAAATGTTATTAACCAGGTATGCATGTACATTTAATCTTTGTGATTCAGATTAAAGACAACACTAGCTTATAAAGCTGCATAACTCAAATAAATAGGAAAACTGGAAAACTACTCTCATTTTAAAGGATTTAATATATAAAGCAACTATATTAAGCAGAGATAATTATTAGTTATTTGTACATAAAAAAGTAGAATGTTCTAAAATGCATTATCATTAATATATATATATATATATATATATATATATATATATATATATATATATATATATATATATATATATATATATAGTGAAAGAGTAAATTCTCCTAATTTAACACAGTGACATAAGCAGATTGTGTGAAATGTTTCCTAGAATTAATGTAAGTTATTTTTGTGTAGTTTACACTAATTAATAATACATTTTTTAAATACAATTTTGCCAACAACACTAATAATTCAAAAAGCACAAGAATATAAGTAACGCCATCTAGTTTAAACTGGGAGTAGGAACCATTTGAGATTCTCTTCGATTTCTGGGGTCGGATTTCAAGACGTGCCGCGCAGAGTCGCTGATCTTCAACGCATAAATTTCCGGAAGTTTGTTTTTAGAATTATTTGTAGATCTGATGGTTTACCGGAAATTCCGGTGTTATTTCACTTCCGATGAAAGGCAGGGAAAATGAATGTGTTTTTGCAGTCTTTTGGATTTTAACTAATTTTTTTTCAAGGTACGAATTGGAAAACTCAGACCTAATCATTGGGCGTGTGTGTTTTTTAATATAAATTATTATAAATAATACGTTTATTTTGTTGAGGTTACGAAATGGCAGCTGACACAGTGGTTGAGTGCAGGCGGTTTGACAGCTCTCGTGCAGCTAGCTAGGTGCTAAACCAGTTAGCAGTCATCAGAAGGAAGGAATCAGGAACAGCGCCTTTATTCCTGTATTGTCATTTTTGAAGCTTATTTAATGTCGTGTATTTAAAGAAGGCAGTCTGCGATGTGGAAGAAATGTTTACACGTTTAGTTAATGTTAGTTAAGGGATATCTGGTCATCAGGTCTCATTCAGTCGCGCGCCCATTATGCTCTATCTATCTATCTAATTTGCCCAAATGATTTGACAGTAGTGACTTTATTTCGTCCATTGACATAATTGTAGCCTCTGATTACTGTTCTTCACTGACAGGAGTGGAACCGGATGTGGTCTTCTGCTGTTGTAGCCCATCCGCCTCAACATTCAACGTGTCGTGCATTCTGAGATGCTTTTCTGCTCACTGCGGTTGTAAAGAGTGATTATCTGAGTTACTGCAGCCTTCCTGTCAGCTCGAACCAGTCTGGTCATTCTTCTCTGATCTCTCTCATCACCAAGGTGTTTCTGCCCACAGAACTGCTGCTCACTCGATTTTTTTTT